GTGTATGTCGTGGAACCTGTTTGTGGCCTCGGCCCACCGTGGCCGGCAAATCCCCGCCGTTCCTTCTGTAGCGCCCCTTCTGGTAGTACATCGACCGTGTGTAACGAGCAGGCGAGCGAAGAAAGGCCGCCGATCGTTCCAGGTGGAACGATCCACGCGGTGCCAGAGACCAGCGCTGGGGCCGTCGCGACACGAGCCAGGGGCGCTCCGCAGGCGGGCGCCAGGGAACATGGAAAGAAAATGTGGAGCCCGTTCTCCCACCAACCCTACAGTTGGGCCTTCGGGTTGTGTTGGGGTGGTTTGGTAGGTCGTCAAACATTGGAGCCGTCTGGAGGTCTGAGGTGGACCAGGAAGGGTGGGCAGGTTCGAGGCTCCGGGCTCGGGAAGGTTTTTGTTGCCTTTTCCGGCCTCCGGGGAATGTTTTCGGCTCGGGGACCGTGAAACGCGGATCAAGGGTGAAAAACTGCACCAGATGGACCCCGGGAGGGCTCCCCCCTCCTGGCTGAATTGCTAGGGCCCCAACCAGTTCAGAACCTCAGGCCGCCTCCAACGTAAGAGTGGCCTTTCGCCAGAGTGGCCTTTGGTGCCGGTCCACCGATCGCTGGGCCCGATGCGCTAGCAGCGGCTTGCCCGCTCGGGCTTGAGCCCCCGCGCCCAGGGCCACCCTTGCGCGTGGCCGACGTGCAACGCGTCAGCACAGCGCACCAGCGCAGCGAGCCCGGGTGCGACCAGGGCCGCTCCTCTGCAGCCGCGACGCTGAAGCCAGGACCGCTTCGGATTCAGGAAGGGCTCTGCTTGTCGGGCCTATCCTCAAATCTAGGTCGGGGAGCCCATTCGTGGCCAAGGCTCGCGGCGGCCAGGGAATCCGCTTCGCTCCTTTTGGGCGCTCCGCCGTGGTACAGTCAACGCGCCCAGTAAGGACGCGCGCCTTCATCTAGGGTACCCTTGTGTCCTTGCCTCTGCGGCCCGTCCTTTGCCGTTTTCACTGGTCGCCTGCCGCCCAAAAAATCCCGACTTCGGCCTCCAAGGGTCTTGCGTCCTCACCACCCGTCCTTACAATGCACATTTTGGCTGTGGGTCGGGGAACCCCTTCGTGGCCGAGGCTCGCGGCGGCCAGGGAGTCTGCTTCGCTCTTTGTGGGCGCTCCCTCACAGCAGCGCGATGGCTGTCTTCGTTACGCTGGAGGCCTGGGCCCCTGGATGTCCCCGGGGGCCCGTGGAGTTCCCCGGCTTCCGGGGACCAGCACGGCCCAGAAGAGCTCCAGAACGTCGTATAATCCATGGGGGCAGCAGCAGCTCGCGACGTGGTCGTGAAGCTGTGGTGTGCTGATGGCTCACTGCGCTGATCTTGAAGCGCCAGCCCGCCGCCCCTCCTCCTCCTCCTCCTCCTCCTCCTCCTCCTCCTCCTCCTCCTCCTCCTCCTCCTCCTCCTCCTCCTCCTCCTCCTCCGCCTCGCGTGGGGAACCGGGCGTGTCCCGACTGCCCTCTGGCTGCCCGGACACGGGCTCCGGCGTATAACTCGAAACAGCGGCGACCCTCGGTCCTCGCCCCCCCAGGAGGAGGAGGAGGAGGAGGAGGAGGAGGAGGAGGAGGAGGAGGAGGAGGACGAGGAGGAGGAGGAGGAGGAGGAGGAGGAGGAGGAGGAGGAGGAGGAGGAGGCCTCCCCCCCCCCCGGGCCCCCCGGATTCCTCTCCGAGCCTGCTCGGCGTCTGAGCCGATTCGGCCGCCAAGCGGACTCGGCGGATGGCATGGGGCGCGGGTCCCGCGGCCCCGTCGGAGGGGATCCCGTGTCTGCTGCTCGTTCGGCGGCGGGGTGGGCTCAGACGGGGTCGGGGCGATCTGGGCAGTCCGGAAGGCTCTCGACGAGGCGCAGCAGATGGAATCATCCCGTCGATCCCGATCGATCTGTGATGGCCCCGGGCCTTCACACCGGGGGAAGAGGCCCGTTGTGAAACAAATCACGGCGCCCAGACCTCATGGGGGGGGCCTCGAACATCCTGGAACGGCTGCATGTCAGAGTGACCCTTCGCCCGAGTGACCTTTGGTGCGCGGCTTTCGGGGGGGGGGGGCGCGGGGGGTCAAACCCATGAACGCAGGCCGCCACTGTCGCACCGCGGGCAGCGATCCGCAGGCCGAGTAACCAGAGGTTACTCTCGCCTGGGGCCATTCTTGCGCGCAGCCGACTGGAGGTCGGTCGCTCTGGCGGGGTGCTTCTCTGCGAAGTCATGCAGCGCACGGCTGCAGAAGTGCAGTCGCAGGACTCGCCGACGACAGGCGTGCATGCGTGCAACCCGCTCGCCTCGTGCTCCGCGGCCTCCGCTGCTCGAGCCCAGAGGCCTCCCAACACGCCCTGAAGCCGGGCGGGAACAGACTGCCGCAGGTTGTTACCGCCCGGCTCCAGAACGCTCGCGCCGTGATCGCGCCTGTGATCGCGCAGTGCGCGAGCACAGCTCGAGAGCTATTTGGCCCCGTCGTGCCCCCTAGGGTCGTCGGGCTTTCTCGCGCAGGCCGCGGCCGCACAGCTGGACGCGCAGCGGGCGGTCTTTGCGCAGGCGGCGCCCCGCCTGGAGCCGGGGGAGGGGGGCTCTTGGGCTCAGGGCCCCGGAGACCAGGACTTGAAGCAGGCCAGGGCTATGCCCGATCCAGCTGGAGAAAAAGCAAAACGGTTCGACCCGCGGCTGCAGTTTTCTCAGGCGCACCAGCGTCCTGGTCTGTGGGCCTTATTGTCTGTCTGGTCGGTAGGACCATGGGGAGATGCCCGCACAATGCCATTGCCCCTTCTCCCCTCCTCCTCCTCCTCCTCCTCCTCCTCCTCCTCCTCCTCCTCCTCCTCCCCCTCCTCCTCCTCCTCCTCCTCCTCCTCCTCCTCCTCCTCCTCCTCCTCCTCCGCTTCTATCGCCTCCTCCTCCTCCTCCTCCTCCTGATGTCACTCCTCCTCCTCCTCCGCTTCTATCGCCTCCTCCTCCTCCTCCTCCTCTTCCTCCTCCTCTTCCTCTTCTTCCTCCTCTTTCTCTTTTTCCCTCTTCCTGAGTCCGCGGCAATGTCAGGTTCTCGTATTATTTACCCTGCGGTCGACACCGATCGCCGGAGTTTCGACCACGCTCGCAGGACAGCTTGTTGAGTCGGCTCAGTGCGCGGTCGAGGCCATTGTTCTGCATCGTGCTTCGCGCTTTAATTCCCATCAGCTTTCCTCCTTCCCCCAAAAATAAACCAACGTCCTGGTTTGTCAAAGTCCCCAACTACGGGGCCCTGATGGGTGCGCACGCGACGGGGGTTAGCGCTGAGGGGGGTCCGCCAGTCCCCTCGAGGCTCGAGGATCGAGGACAGATGTTGTTGTAGACTGTTTCTGCCTCATGGGGCGCTCTTGTTGGCTTGGCTGGATCCCCTTTTACATTCTGGTCAAAAGGTTTCCCTGGAGAAGTCCAGAGATAGGTTTTGATCCAGAACTTCGAGGTTCGAGGATTGGGGTCAGCGGTGCTGGGGGGGTCAGCCAGTCCCTTCTGGTTCCTCCTGGCTGACACCAGTTTGGGAGCAACGTGGCGCGCTCCAGAGAGGGCTTCGCCTTCGAGGGGTCGACAGGTTGACTTCTCGCCCTCGGCGGAAGCAAACGGCGGCGGGTCGGCCAGCGGAAGGTCGGCGGATGGCGGCGGAAGTACAAGCGAGACGCCGACAGTTTTGGGCGAGGGTGCTGCGAGAGTCCGCCCTGTGGACTCGCCAGCATGCGCGCGAAGTTCAATCCCTGACTCGGCTGGTGCCGCGGCGAGCTCTCGGACGCCCCGCGGCGTCGGGCACCAGAGATCGGGCATTCCTCCGCCTGCTGCTGCCGCTGCTGCTCCAGCTCCTCCCTCTCTCCGCCGCCTCCCCCCCCCCCCCCTTCCCCCCCTTCATGGCTCGGCTCTCCAGCGGCCGGCGGCCGTTCGCGACGATCCGGGCACCCCCAGAGCGCTTCCAGCGAGGCGCGGCCGCCGGAGAGCGCGCCCCGAGGCCGGAGAGCCGCCGGGGACCGACGAGAGCGCCCCCAAAGCTCGAGCCTCGAGCCGGAAACTTCCCCTCGTGGACGGCTCAACGACTTCTGCCGTCCCTCGGCTCGCGCTGGAGCGGCCAAGATTTGCTCCAACTTTCCCTGGAGATCTCTGGATTTACCTGGGTGTGCCAGGATTTACCTGGACCTGCCTGGAGTTATCGGCATCTACATACCTCGATTTAACTTATCCAGCTTGATCCCCACAAGTCGATCGGCTAAAAGTCGCCAAGGTCTTAAGATCGAGCCCGAATCTTCCCCCCTGGGTCTATCCCCCCTGAGCCTCTCGTGAGCGTTTAGAGCGTTTATTGTTCCTCCCCAGGGTAGCGCTCGTTACCCGGGCCAACCCCCCCTCCCCCCGGGGAACGCTAGCGATTTCATTGCGGGGGTAGGATCACGGACCCCGGTGGACCCCCCCCCCCTACATGCCGTGGTGCGCACAGGCGATTGATGCGCTGGTGGCGCGGGTGAACCCTGGCGGGTGCACGCCGCGGCCACCGTTACCGCCGTTACCCTCCCGCTCGACCCCCTCCCCCCCTTGGGGTAACGAACGTTACCCAGGAAAGAAAAAACGGCCACCTCCGCCCCCCCGATGACCATCGAGGAGAATCCTGGATCATGTGTGAACAAGAAAGCAGGAACCCGAACAATGCCCGTGGAATGGACGGCCGAGCGATGGCGAGTTTGGAATCGAGCCCGAGTCTTCCCCCCTGAGCCTATTCCCCTGGAGCCTCTCAGCCCCCCCATGCTCCCTCCGCGGGTCTGGGCGCTGCTGTGTGGCCGCCCCAGTGGGCGGCGGGGCCCCAGCTGGCCTGGCGTCAGCGCTCTCCCAGGTCGGCGCGGCCCCAGCTTCTGATGCTCGCAGGAGATGGGGAGGGGGGGGGAGGGGGAGGAGGAGGAGGAGGAGGAGGAGGAGGAGGAGGAGGAGGAGGAGGAGGAGGAGGAGGGGGGAGGGGAGGGGAGTGGAGGGGAGGGGAAGG